AACTGATAACCTATAAAAGAGGAACAAAAGAGGAGTTGCTTGACCCTTTGTTCTCCCTCCCCTAAACATTCCTTTACAAAGTTCAATTTTGAAATGTTCTTCACCCAACCATTAGTTGATTATACCCCAAATTAACGATCAAAAGCATAGAGGTCTACTAGGCAATCGAATAAAAGCATGGAGAAGACTTCATAAGTATCTAAAACACCTAAAACAGTTTAGATAGCATAACTACCTGACGGTGACTGTTCCATTCTGGGAGGCTGTGATGGCGCTCGTGGTGGTGCCGATGGTGGAGCTGCTATGGCCACTGCATGATGCTTTATTCCCATACTGCCGATGAACTTTCCCTGACCGACTGAAGAACGAGCCGCATCAAAGCGATTCGTGTTTTCTACAAGTTGAGTAAGTGGCGTAGCCGTAAACCAGTCGAGTGAGTCAGCGGCGCCAGAAATAGAGCAATCGGACACAGTACTAAACAGCGGCTTACCGGAAAACGGTACAGCACCCTCATCAGAACGTTCTCTGGTGGGAAGTTGTGCTCGTCTGATTTCTGACTCGATTCCTGGCACCCTATTCTGGAAGTATTTCACATTGTAAAAGAGCAATTTTCTTCAAAACCGTTCATCTATAGAATCAGCAGATTTATCTACTGTAGCTAAGAGCCAACAAATTCTCACCCGAGTCAATTTTAACAGTCTCACACTAACAAAAGAAATCGTTTGGGATGTACCGCGCTTTTTCAAGCACACATGGTGCATGGTAATTTAGGGGCACGTGTACGAAACACAGAAATACGGTCCATTCCCGCTAAATAGCCCTTTGATAACAAAGAATAAATAAATTCATTCTCAGCAATGACGACCCCACTCCTGGGGTGCCAACTTAGAAGATTCCACGACTAGGCTTGAGGCCGAAGAAGGGGAAACTCACCTAGTGAAAAAACAGGCGGGCCAACTGAGGGTGTGGACCGACACACGCTCCACAGCGAAGGACTTGACCCAACGATTCAGCATGCCCTCCCCGCGGCTCTATCGGTATGACGCGGCATGCCTTTTGACCGTAATCTTCACTAAAGGCGGCTTGCCTAAAGATGCAAAAGTTTGCAACCTCGGGGCGTCGAACCATCGGCCACTTCTTCACCCTTTTTTTCGCGCAAAAAGGGAGCCCTTAAAGGACAAATTCACGATTAGAGTCAAGGTCGAAGAAGGAGTAATGCGCCTAGTTGAGGGACCCGCAGACCTGCTAAATGTGCGGACTGAAGCGCAATTGGCACTGAAGAGTCGACCATTCCGGCGACTATAAAGGCCGATGTCATAGTTTGCGAATCGAGCGATTCGCTAGCGAATCGCTGGATCCGAGCGTTGCGCCAGCGAATCGAACGTTGCACCAGCGAATCGAACTTTGCGCCAGCGAGTCGAACTATGTACCAGCGACTCAATAGTGGCGGGACCCAACGTTCAAAAGGAAGCCCGCCACTTTCAAACAGTGTCCACTGCAAGTCCGCCACTTTCAAACAGCGTCCACTGTCACGTGACACTGTTTGAAAGGCGGGCTTCCTTTAAACGTTGGGTCCCGCCACTATTGAGTCGCTGGTACCTAGTTCGACTCGCTGGTGCAAAGTTCGATTCGCTGGTGCAACGTTCGATTCGCTGGCGCAACGCTCGGATCCAGCGATTCGCTAGCGAATCGCTCGATTCGCAAACTATGACATCGGCCTAAGTTGGCGCGGTGGGTCGTGCACGCCCACCGATCATCTGATCACTCGCCGCAGGTCTATACGTGATTAGATAGGTGAGAGAGCGTAGTGTTGAAGAGGGCACAGCGATGAGAGTCGCATCAATGCTCAATCAACGGGCAAGGAAGGGGTCCCATTTCTCGGGTTCTGGGCCGTTTCTCATGGTTTTTCCTTCTTTAGTGTACCACTCACCATCGCTAAGTTAATTTGAAAAGGGTTGCCTTTCCAGCAAGAATTCGTCCTATAAGCGAACATGAGCCATGTGCTACTAGTATCTCATACAAAAGTCTCAGCATGCAAGAAGCGTTCCGAGGGCGGCACGCACTGAGCGAGCTGCCTTGTTGCACCATCTTGTTTTTCGGCTTTGTGACCCATTGTGGAGAAAAAGCAATCTAGTGGAAATCTTGCTGGTGCAGAAGGCGTAATCGTAACTAACTTGTTGGTTAACTAGTTACTAAGTTAGTAACTCCAGAACTACTCCTTACCCTTGGATCATTTATAGGGATAATTGGAGGAGGTGGTATTGGTGGAGCACCAAATCCGTTCGAGGCTTGCATCGCTACTGGCGGTGCAAGTGGTGCAGGCCCTTTCGGAACTGTTGGCGTAGGTGGCTCAGGGTCAGCAAACAGCTCCGGATTCTTCTGAAAAAGTTGACCATCTCTCAAAAGGGTCTTCAGATAGAAATAACTCGGACTGCACCTCTTCGAAGGCGATAAATTGATCTGCGATTGGCGCCCTGTTGCAAAAGTTCTGATTACGGCAAAGGCAATAAGCGACCTAAAAAGGCATTACTTAATTTGTTGTCATGCTACATACATTTAACTGAAGATGTGCTACCGTACCTCTTGTCCGTGTACTTCGACAAGGTCGCATTCCTCATCCATGGCGTATCCCTTGTTAGGGAAAAGTTGGTAGTGATCCTGCTCAGATATGCACTCCTTCATGACTGTGTATGTATCTAAAAACAAACGAATTCGAAAACTCCGCTAGTAGCTCGAACAAATAGAAATCAATACAAAGATGATGTGGCTTCGATCTACAATTTAAAGGCAAGATTCAGGATTAAATTGATGAGGTAATTCCACTCAAATGTGAAAGTAGGGATGGGAGTGGACCGCCAGTGGAGAAAAAAGGAAAAAAAATCGTGAAATACACAGGAAATACGAGCCTTTTGCTCTACGCTGCGGAGAAGTTCAAAAGGCCGGCAGGGAGATGAGAGATAATGTGAGCGCGGAGAGCGGTAGAGAAGTCCGAGTAGAGAGAGCATAGCAGATCAACATTGCGACGCAGACAAGATATCGAGCGGTGGGCGGAGCGTGTCGCAACAGGTGGAGCGTGTCAAAGTCCTTGGCGCCTAGCGTCTTAGTGACGCATTTCGATGCGGGAAAGTGGCGCGTCGCTGCAGTTGCGTCCCATGCACTTCTAGCCACTTAAGGGCTTATTAAGTGGGTCTGAGCCCGAACTTTGCCTTTAACACATTTATAATAGCTCGCTACGCTCTATGAAAAGGAAAAGCCATATTTTTTACGATGAGAGGAATTCATTTGTGCATGGGACGCCTTCCTCAGCATCTCACCATCCACCAGTACAACTTACGATTCTCGAGAATTACAAGACACGAAAATTATATAATATCAAACAAAGTGTGCTTACTGTTGGGCGCTTTATGTCGAGTTGTTCGGCAAAATATCGTCTCGTCACGTGGAAATCTGGCCGCGTAGCTTTTACAGTCATACTGAAACCAAAGCAGATCAACTACATATGTAAGAGATCATGTATTACCGGAGGAATAATATTAGGTCGGTCCATAATTTTTGAGAACCTTTGGCGTTTTTCGATTCAATTTAACTTAT